ACAGCTTTGGTTTGAAAATGTAGATTGAGTGTAAGTCACATAGATCTTTGCATTTTTGCATTCGCATTGGGTACTTTATGTGCCAAAGTGGAAGTTCTCTTCATTTCATTTTTTGAACCCAATAGATATTTTTTTCACAATGTGCCCAATTGGAGATTTCCTTGAAAATTCTCCAATAATTTTTAAAATACTCACTACCTATTTATTACAATGGCAGGAATGACGGATAGTTTCCGCATGGCGGCACTAGTGTGGTTGTAAGTCATCTGTCATCTACATGACAATCAGTGGCGGCTCCTCAGAGGAGGCAACGGAGGCTGAGCCTCCTCAGAGATTTTCCTTAAACTGATATTATCTATACTTTCCCATTGAAAGGACACCAAAATACATGGATTTTGATTTTATTTCCTGTTTTCAGGTAAATATTTTTGAATCGGCAACAGTGCTTGCCCACGTATCACACGTTGAAGTCTGCAAATCACGCGTAAAATATTCAACTTGGCAACATCTATAGGAGGCTAGACTCCTTCACATTGCGCAACCCACGCGCGCCTTGGAAATGCCCGAATACGCCCGAATAACACGTGTTTGTCGTGTCGCGTCGCGAATTGCGGACAATCCAGCTCGATTGCATTGTTTATGTTTATGTTAGGTTAATGGTTAGGGGCTCTATAAATTTCTGAAAAATTAGTGTTTTAAACGATTGCGATTTAGTGGAATACTTTTTGGTGAACCCATTCAGTGCCTTGTTTTATGAAGATAAATTGATTGTGAAAAACAAACGTCCGACACCGGAATTAAAAAATCTGATTATAACAGGTAACAAACAAAATCGTTCGTACAATTCTGATTATTTTAAAAAATATATCTGGTTGACGGGATCTGAGGTAAGGAATAAGCTATTTTGTTGGTACTGCGTATTATTTTCAACCGATAAGTCATCATGTTGGGGGCGATTAGGATATAATGATTTGAAAAATTTGTCTCGCGGATTGGATAGACACTGCAAATCACAGGAACACATCTCTTCAAGTATTAAGTTCAGGTTAACTGGTAAACAGAATGTCATTAAAGCTATTGATTTGGGTGAGTAGAGAGTTGTTTTTCACAATAAATCTCATATCATTCAGCCTCCTCTGTCATGAAAGTCACGAGCCGCCACTGATGACAATGCTGACTAACTAAACGTACCTGTATTTTTCGTTTACGCCAATCATAGAGGATTATGGAAGCACTATAGGGACACATAATAACATTGATGTAGACTAGTTACCATTATTAATGTACTTTTGTTAACTCATCATATTTTGCAGATATGTAAACTTAAAACAACCTGAGATTATTTTCAATCTAACCAACGTCGTCTTCTCAGAGCTTTCCAGATTACCTGCCATTGTATAGAAACGGGCAACATTTTTTTATCGATATTTCTAAATAACTGAACTTTCCATTGACAATGACATTTTCTTCTTTATTTTCACACCCACCGTTAATTGTATGAACTGCATCATTTTTGTAACAATGGCTTCTCAATAGCTCTTTGCAATATCACCTAGTCAAATAATTCGTTAGGTACTGTATATTTATATAATGTAATCACATTAAAGTCAATTTGCTGTCACTGTTGACAGGTTGTTTTGCAGTTGTCAGTATTTCAAAATGCCTTCAAGAAATTCGGCAACACATCGATTGGGATACAGTGACGTCAGACCGCGTGAATTATGTTGATGTGATTATGTTTCACACTTGAACAACAGCAGAACTATAATTTTACTCAAAACATTGTTGTAACTTCAGTGCCTTTATTGCATCCATTCCAAATACACCTTTGAAACGAAATCTAGTGTCTAAACGTCGTTGAGTGTCGGGTCTCCCGCAAGGTTCCGTTTCGGGGCCCCTCGCTCACCTCGTTTATGCCGGTTTGTCAGAGATGGATATGATAGAAGGCGACTTGTGGTAGTGTAAATAGTTAGGCGCACTCTTGAAGAATGCCGCCATAATGTGCCACTACTTTTTTTTGAGAGGCTTAACAGTGTATCGTAGTCTAACCCAAGACTAGTTGGTCGTGTGGAATGAGGCTTCTAGACAACGAGAAATCATGTGACAACCCTAATAGCACATTGTGGTCCAGTGGATATCTAGTCATCCTTGTTGTTTATTTATCATACAGTATGTTGAAGACTTCAAAACTGAAATGTGGCAACTTTGAATCCACTGGACTGTGTGCTAAGTTACCTACTTCATTTCAGTGACTATCATTGTCGCCTGACTGGAATGAATCTAGTTGGCTGTGTATCTCTGAGCCTACTGAGTTTTTCATCTCCATCCAGTAGGATAATGACGAAGTATCTTATATTCTTCTTTCAGGTGGAACATTGGTGTACCCTAATTTTATATCGAGCGAAATACATGTACGATCTCTTAGTCTATTATTTATTCATATCATTGACGTTCTCAAAACTCTGTGCATATAAGAATGACGGATTGTTTAGATAGAGAAGGTATCGGAAAGATAATCGACATGTAGGGGGCCTTGTATTTCGATAAAATGGCCACTGTAAGCAGTAACAAGCAGGTTCTTGAATTACTTTTCCCAAGAAAAATTTTGCTGTTGTTGGGGAAATTTGTTTTTCACTGTTACAATCTTGAATAAAACAGACTGTTTAATTTATAGATCTTTATTGATTAATGAAAATTGACTTGAAAGTTGATGAGAACCTAATATGACTACTAAACTAGATGACCTCAAAGTACTGCTTATAGTGGTTCAAATATTTCCACCAGATTGCATTTGTGCCAGTTGAAATGGTACCACAATTGACCATGTCACGTAGCCATATTGCGATGCGACTACCAAGGTTCTCAACTGAGAAAAAAATTAACCATCAGTTTTCATTGATGATTTTATAATTGGTATGAATGAGAATATAAAATGGTTGGGAGAATAATATTTATAAACTCTGATACGTTGAATATAAAGTTTTTTCCCCAAAAACTTTTGTAGACAAAACTTCCTCGTCAACAAAACCTGATGAGATGAATTTTTAAGTTTTCTGTTTCGAACCATGGGTAGATTGTATCGTTATCTTACAATATGACAACACGTGATTTGGTTATGTCAGACGAGACTCTAATAGCGGCACGGCATTCTGTCAAGTCGAAGGTCTACAAAAGCCATAATGGTCACGATTTATCATGTGATATATTCCAGAGCCTATTGCCTGAGGAAAAAGATCCTTGACAGCGTTACACACCATACCATAATTCAGCCTAATTTGGCAACATTGCTGACTAATATTTTCCAATTTACATTTGACAGCAATTTACCTAGAATCTGAAATAAGTTATGATGTATGACATTTCAGTTGGTTAGCCACAACCACAACAGCTCAATTTCAAAAATCGATAGTACAAAATTTGCTATCTGTCAATTGTGTCATCTTCCTATGAGTCCAGGACATTCGGGAGTAGAAGGAAATGAAGTAGCGGACAAACTTGCTAGGAAAGGAGCTCAAACACCATTCTGGGACCTGAACCCTTCTACGGTATCAGCAGCAATAATGTATGTATGAGAAAAAAAGAAGCTCAACAGAGATTAGACATCTGGAAAATCTTCAAGGTCCCAGATATGCTAAGATACTACTGGGTGTCCATAACATACCACAAAAGATCAAACGCATATGTCCGCCTGAGCAAAAATAAACTTCGTATACTAACGGAGTCCTTACACATTGCCGGTTGAAAGCATATCTTAGAAAGCACCAATATCTGACAATTGTGGAATCATAAGCAGTGGTGGTAATGCCAAATATGTCAACTGTCAAAGATAGCTAAGGAAATGCGCCTTCCTATGCTGTCTACGTATCACAAAGTGAAGCCGAGTCGGCCATCTTTTGATGACATTGATGCTTGGTGATTTTCATTCAATATCGGCAATTGATCATAGTATTATTAAATATTTCGTGTATTTACATATTTGTTCAAGACATGGTGACGTGTTCAGCATATAAATGTGTAAATTCGAGCAATGAATGGACTGTATGCGATAAAAGTTGTACTATAAAAGCGAGAGAGTACTTCCACTTACCTAGATAAGACGCTGCTATGATAATTGTTGGACATTCCAACCGTGCTGTTTTTCACCCAAAGATTTTAGGAAAGTTCTGCTATTTTTCGAGGCCACGACACACACGAATATATTAATGTCTATCATATGAGAAGTGATATAAAAAATGTGAATTTCCACAAAATTAATAAAAATGCAAGAACAATGTTATCTGAGGTGTGCGCATCGCAGTACAACTATTATTGCATACAGTCCATTCAACCGCAACATTTGGTCCTTCGAGCCGGATTATTGTTTTTCGTAATTTTCAATCGAAATTCTTATTGTTCAGAATATTCCAATTGTACCCAATATTGTCATATGAATAAAAATATACATCTGCTAAATTCGCTTTCATTATGTTATATAGCAAAGCTTGTCAAATAATTAGACAATCAGTTATTATTTAAGAGAAATATTTTCAACATATTTTCAACTGATGAAAGTGTGAGGTTATTGTGTAAGCCATTCACGGGCGTGCGTACTGAGTGGGCAGTACGGAGTAAGTGATCTGTTTGGTACCTTGATTATGGCTTCCCTTCCAGCTAGTGATCGGGCATTTCCACAGTTGTCTTGATTGTTTTGGTATGGCGATAAACGTATGGTATGGCGATAAACGCTGCCAGTGTACAACTCCCTAACCTAAAACAGATGATATGGAGTATCTTTCGATTTGATCGCTGTGCTGCTATTAGGGTCTCATCTTTGTAACATTCGGTGGTATGTTATCGAACTAGATGCCAAAGGCGGTGTGCTATTAGGGACTCGAACTTAAAAGGAGATCAGTGGCATGCGTCTTTACAATCGAGAAAAAAAAACTGTCTAACGTCATCATGTCATTGCACGAGTTTGAGAAGCTGTTTATAATGCATGTCTTGTCTGTCTTTGCATGCAGGGTTTCGGTTTTGTAACATTCGCAAATAGTGCTGATGCGGAGCGCGCACGAGACCGACTACATGGCACCGTGGTTGAGGGAAGAAAAATAGAGGTGTGCATGATTATTATTCATTTTTTTTTCTTTCTCCGTCGCCGGTGTTACGAGCGAGTTGGGTTTTTCGTTAGGGAGGTCAGTGGTTCAGGCTCGAAGATATCTACTAACATTTCGATGTCGTTTTGTTCTCAATATTGAGATTCTAGAAGAACGTCACTTATAGCAAAGAGCTAGTTTCTTTCAGCCATCTATCGATACTAGCGCGAATCTCTGTTTTTGGGGATTTGGAGGACTCCTGATGGACTCTAAGAGCCAATAAAATTTGAAAAATTATTAATTAGTTGTCACACATGTAGGTCAGGTTAGAAGTACCATTGAAAGGAGTCTCAAGGAACATCTTGCACACTTGAAGAGTGTTGACCGCAGTCATAATACATAAATAAAACACAGACATATTAAGGAGTATGAGAATATTCAAAAGTAGTAGACATAATAAAAGTAGGGTCAGAAAATATCTTGCAAATTTGAATAATGTGAGCTTAGAGGACTCAAGCATATCGAATTTTGAACTTGAAAGTTGATCAAACAAATCGAGAACTTTGGAAAATTAAATGCAAGTGAAACCTAGGAATATTTAGTGGAAGTAATCGGGTCTAGGTAGACACATTTAGTATATCAATAGGAATTTTTATTGGGATAATTTCGGTCTTTTTCTGTTTTTGTGTGTGTCGTTTTGATCTCGATATCTACTGCGATATAAATTTCAGCCATCTATCGGTACTATCGCGAATCTCTATTTTTTGAAATCTGGGGATTTGGAGGATTCCTGATGAACTCTAAGAGCCAACAAAATTTGAAAAATTGTTAATTAATTGTCACACATATGTAGGTCAAATTAGAAGTCCCATTGAAAGGAGTCTCAAGGAACATCTTGCACACTTGAAGAGTGTTGACCACAGTCATAATGCATAAATAAAACACAAAATTGATAAAATACATAGAGAATCAGACATATAAAAGTAGTATTGGGAAACATAATGAAGCTATGGTCAACAAATATCTTGCACATTTGAATAATGTGAGCTTAGAGGACTCAAGTATATGGGATTTAGAACTAGAAAATTGAACAAACAAATCGAGAACTTTGGAAAATTAGATGCAGGTGAAACCTAGGAATGTTTAGGGAAAGTAATAATAAGGTCTAGGTAGACACATTTAGTATATCAATAGGAATTTTTATTGGGATAATTTCGGTCTTTCTCTGAAGAAATTAATATGGTTGTGAAAAGACGTATCGAGTAGGTATCTATAGTTGAAAAAAATTGGTTGGCGCTGGTACAGATAGATGGCCTTAAGAAACTGTCTCGAAGCATTAGAAACGAATAAGTAGATAAACGGGGTCTATCGATATTATCTGCTCAAATTTGGACAATAACTATAACACCAGATGTTCAAGTTTTTATTTGGAAAAATATGTATTGGAAGCCCCTAATGTTATAAACCTCCATGTGTGTAGAGATTGGTAAAATGTAATCTGCATTTTCTTGTATGACTAGCGATATTATTTTATCAAAAATGACAGACGAGCTCAATATTTTGATTCTAGTTCGTTCAACAATTACAAATTATGGGCTATACATAATTTCGACCAGCAAGACCGGAGATCTGGTAAAGCAGGCCGTGGAGTATAATTGTACATATTGAAAATTAAATATCTGGTGTTCTCATCGAATGAGGACGCATAGCATTACTAAAAAAAAAATAGAGTTATTTACGTCACCTGTTCATTTCACCCAATTTTCACCCCAAAAATCGTAGAAAAAAAATCGGAAATCTGTAATTTTCATTAGCAAGAAACATCTTGTTATGAATTTCGTTTCTCGTCAATAAATACATAAGGCATAACATTGATTGACATTATGCTGTCACCCGATTTTGAGGCATTAGCTTCACCCCGTTCCCACCCGAAAGATAAAAAAACTAACGGAAATCTATCATTTTCATAGAAGGAAAAATATCTTGCCATGATTTTTCTTCATATTGCCCCCTTTGTATTGTATTTATTAAATCCTCAGTATCGATACAATAAAATGGACGAGTCAGCACAGGTAATAAAAAATGCTAGAATACTAAATTATAAATAATACTGAACTATAAACTATACAATGAATTGGCCACATCAGTTTCACTCCATTTTCATCCCAAAATATTGTTTCCTAATGAAAACGACCGACTTCCGTTTTTCTTTTTCGATTTTTGGGGTGAAAATGAGGTAAAATTGATGCGACAAAATTAATCAATGTAATGCCCTATGCATTTTTTGACAAAAAAATCCATGGCAAGACATTTTTACCCAATGAAAATGACAGATTTCCCTTTTTTGTTTTTCAATTTTCAAGGTGAAAATGGGGTGAAATTGATGCCTTCAAATCAGGGACATCATGAATTCAATCGATGTTATGCCTCATGCTTTTTTGACAGAAAAAAACAATAAGATATTTTTTCTGAAACCGACACAAAAGTCGTCCATTTTGATACCAAAATTAGCTCTTTAATTGGCGTTTCTTTTACTGACACAAAAATAGGTATGTTGCTAGGCAACATATTTAGTTCCTAGGAACTAAAGTTAAACTTTAGCTCCTAGGAACTAAAAAGGATGTACTGGACGTCATCAAGAATAAACAACATTGTAAAGGTTGGTTATTTGGGTTGAGACGCATACCTGATTCGTTTCCGATTTCAGCAGATTTGGCATTTCATACCCATGCTATTTTTGTTTTGATCAGGGAAGCCTTCAAGATTCAAATACTTGCTTGATCTGTATTTCATTCGTTATTCTCGGGATGGATAACTTGTTCTTGAAGAATCACGGCAAGCAATAGTTTTTTTGTTTCAAACAACGATATTGTTTAGCTTCATTTGATTATCAAGTCAAACACAGTGTAGTATGGAGAGGAATAAATAATCACTATTATCATTGTTGATATGCTCACTAACCTAACATTTTCCACGTCTTGTTCCTATACCTGGCACTGGAGCGGTATTTGATATTAGAGCACCTGGTCCATATACAAATATGTCACTCTGTGGTTGTATTTATATTGAAACTACAATTCGAACATCCTAGAAAACCTAACCTGCTGTTAATGCAGGTAGAATATTCTCACCACATGGATTATTTGTCAATATTTGTTGCATTGCATACATATGGCACGGCATTGGTGGTTACTTCACATGTTTATTTGAGTTGATTGTTTCGGTTGCAGAAAAAATAGCATGTTTCATTCGGATCAAAAGTGACTTTGTTCGACTCGCAAATTTTGCTTTCGCTCGGCTTCGCTAAACGCTCCGCCTCGCAAATGCAAAATTCGCTTGTCAAACAAAGTGTCACTTTTGATCCTAATAAAACAATCTACTATTTTCCCAACTAAAATGACAGATTTCCGATTTTTTTTTTATTTTGGGGTGAAAATGGAGTGAAATGAACAGATGACATAAATAATAACTCTATTTTTATTTTACTACTGCTTGGCGTTCTCATTTGATGAAAACACCTGTAGTCAGATATTTTATTTATTTTTTAATATGAAAAAATTACTCCACGGCCTGTTTTACTTGTCTTGCTGGCCTGACACCGGTATAAATTTCGTAATATTTTGTGAAGGATGGATAATCAAGCCTCTATGAATAAAGAACAAATGACATCGATAGCATTTCTCAGAGTTGATCATGAAAAAATCTTCGAGTAACTGAATCGCCTACCAAGGGAACAATTCAATTACGGAAAAAATAGCTCGCTGGTAAGATCGGTGACCGGAATCTAGCTATCTACGTGTAGCACTGGCCTGTCCCGTCCCCCTCCCCGGTAAAAAAAGGTCAAAACCCCGTGTGGCTGGCTTGATGGCTAAGATGGCTTTAGTGACTAACCGGTAGCACACCACTTCCTCGCTTCACACGTGTTGTTTTGACGTTCTTTTGCCGCACACACTATATATATTTATGATGATACCAAGTTGCTCGACGATAATTCCAATTCTCTCAGCCGAAATTTGAAGTTGGCGGGTTGTCGTCTCGAGTACCGGGAATTGCCGAATTGATCCGAGAGATTTTGGCTGATGACGGCAGGCGGGTTAGAGACGAAACTTTCTGTCAATGCTAAGAATGTGTAACCTCAAAGTTTCGAGCGTTTTTGAAGATGTCTATGAATTATATTACGTAGCTCAAATCGTTTGTGCATTGTATTACAATATTGGGAAGCACCGATTTCGGTACAAAAATAATAGCCTTGAAAAGGAGGTAGCAAAAATTTTGAAAACAAATTTTTCGAACAAAACACGTTTCTCCAAATGAAATGAATTGTTCAATATCCACAAGAAACTGTTTGAATTGAGACTAGTTGTTTTCAAATTGGGGAATGACCACATCCAAATTGGTAAAAAGTATGATGTGTCGATATTATAATAAACACAGTGAATTGTTCAAATTATAATATCTGATTAACTTCTGCATTCGTCAACGGATTTTTCTTGAATTTGGTACAGTTATACAGGGTGTGTATCTGAATAACACCGAAAAAACTCAAGAGGTGTTTCCTTGTGACATTCTAGCGAATAAAGTTCATATAAACATGTATCCTAACTTGCTCCGTTTCTGAGATACAGGATGTTGAAGTTGGAAGTATCAATTGTTTTTATTTATAACCTCCCTGTATAAGCTTTCATGGTGCCAAAATTCAGTATGGCTGGAGACTGAGAAAGCCCAAAAATTTCAAAATGATTCTACTTGGGTTTATTGAGTAATCGCAATGGAAGTCTTGAAAACATCTACATTGAAATTTGGAGTCAAATCGAATTTTTATTGTTTCCTCAAAAACTAAGCTAGATACAAAAATCACACAGAGGATAAAAAGTTGTTATTTCAATAGTTCAATCTAATAAAAATAAGAAGCTCAGAAAACAGGTGGTGTACAATTACATTCTCCATGAATATCGATAAATTTACCCACTGTGACGCCACTGGAAATATTATTTCGAATCTAATTGCACTACAAGAAGCTC